TCGAGGACCAGCCGGGGGGGGGGTGGGGGGGGGGGGGGGGGCAAAGGGGAGGGGCTTGCATACACCTTCACACCGAGCACAGAGACCAAGAGACAGCCTCTTTACTCACTGACTCAGGAACCTCTTTGGAGGCCTCAGCCTCCGCTTCGCCTTTTACGTGCGGCTCTACTGCTTGAGTCTGCTTCACAGCAAGGATAAATACAAAAGGAAGTCAAGGTAGGAGTAGGGAGAGGAACATACAAACCCGTTTTACCAATCTCTCTCTAACCCTACAAAAAAAATGGGATTCCCATACTACACTCTGGGGGTTTGACTGCAGAAAAATAACCAAATGTGACTTACCGAACCATCCATGTTGGTCGGCGATGAACTGCGGGGGCCTGACATGTCTAACGAAGAAGAAACAAAAAGGTTCAGTAATAGTTGACGTTTGAGGTTCAATAAGCGATTCTTACCCATCCCAGGATAACGACTGTGTGGGTCTGATGGAGGGCGTGGACCTGAGAGGTGACCAAGAAAAGATGCTCAGTAAAGAATGAACAATAAACCACCTGCAGACAGTCCCTTGCTGTTCTTAACGGGTAGAAAGAGGGTCAGGTTTTGGGCAGGAAGAAGAAGATGCAGAAGAAGGAATAAAGCAACAACAAGAAGAAAAAAAAATGCTCTGCGCAGGTTCTTTGAGAGAAGATGAATCATGGTTTAAGCAAGAGGAAATCAAAACACAAATCTTCAAGGATTTAGGAAAAGGAGAATTTAAAGTTGAAGGTGCCCAGAGAAGATGTGAACAACCAAAACATAGAACCAAAGAGTGGAGAAGGCTGCAGAGAATATGAGGACAAGGCTGAAGTTGGGGGGATAACAAGGCGGGGAGGGGGAAAAAAAAAAAGTCCGCAAAGGAGCCCACTGAACTCACCATACGGGTCAATTCTTCGCCCCACTGGGGCTGAGGGAGGGCGCCTGGGACCCTCGATCATTAATGGGGGGGATGGCGCCCCCCCACTCACTGGGGAGGGCCCATATGAATCACCTGTTGTGATCAAACCAGCCGTTTACCACAAGAAAATTAAAAAAAAAAAAAACGCCGCCTCCACTTTGAAATAAAGCTCAACCATGAGTTGAACGCAACATGGCAATAATTGTGAGGAACTGGATGTAAATGGTTCATCAACAAATCTAATCGCCCAAACGAAGACCGAAGCACCGCGCAGCATGGAGAAGCCAACGCGTGGCCTTACTCACCTTGGCGAGGGCCAGCAGCTTGCCCCGAGTTGGGTCTGAAGAGAGGAGCGCGGCGCTCATTTAGCTGCGAGGTTAGTCCTGCCAACCTGTGAGGGAGGACGCAACACAACAAAAGTCAACGTTTTCATTCTGCAACATTACGCCACTAAAAAAGTCAAATGAAATGAATCTTCCGGTCCGTTGTGTCGACTGACTTCTCACGCAGCTTGGAAGATTCAAGCTTCTCTTGATTCAAAGCTCGCTCCGCGTTACGAGCGTTGACCTAATTAAAAAAAAGAAAAGAAATGAAATGAAAACCTTGAAACAAAAAAAATATGTATGTCCGTGGTAGGGGGGGGGGGGGGGGGGGGGGGGTGATGCAAAGATGACGCCGCATTCGCTCCGTGAGAGTCTACCTGCTCCTTATAGACTTCCTCGGTCTTCTTCATCTGCTCTTCCATCTCATTAATGCGCTGCCGCAGAACTTTGACTTGCTCCTCGGCCTCCACGGCTTTGCCTCCCACCTCGGACAGCAGGTTCTCTTTGCTGCGGCGCTCAAGCTCCTCCTTCGTGAGCCTCCTGTGATGTCGGGGAAAAGGGCAAAGCTAAGCTGCGCGCGGCTCGGAACGGGCTGGATGGCTTCGTCCGCTGCAACGCGGTTGATGAATTAAATACAAGAATGTGACACTCAAAAGGACGGCAAGGCAAGCCAATATTCTGTTATTTCAAACCCACATGGTTTGTTGTACAAAAGATGTGTCCAAGCTTTTTTAACCAAAGATCTACTTTTTAAGCAACCGAGCGTACTTGAACAGGAGGTGGATAACAGGAATCACCTTTATGTTGCGATACACATCACATTGACCTTTGGGAAGGTAACTTACTGCTGCAGAGCGTTTTCCTTTTGCTGGTACATTTCCACCATGATTTCATTCTTCTGCTGGAGGACTTTGAACTGGTTTTCCACGTGGCTCTTCTCACTTTTGAGGGTTGCGATGCTGTGTTCAAGCTCCTGGTGTTTTTCTGCGGCAAAACAAGGTCACGCTCGACAACACTGTTCTCTGTGACAACGTTGCGTGCGTTTTCCATGACCCACACACCTTCCAGAGCCTTTCGGCTTTTTTCTTCATTAAGCAGTTTGGACATGAAGCGGTCACGCTCCTCTTCGATCACCGTGAGCGTGGTCTGGACCTGGATCATGACAATGATGCTTTAGGACGACACAAAAATATTGATAAAACCCGCCAGAGCTTTGTGTCTCATTACCCTGGAGACATCCATCATCTGTTTGATCCTGTTCTTTACCGCCGTCTTCTTATCTGCACAAGCCATGACAATGAAACCACCTTATTCAGAATTTGTATCTAAAATTCAGCCTCCCTTTACGCCGGACTTACCAGGTGCCACTTCGCCATTCAACAATAGCTTGCCATCGCTTTTTTGTAACTCACAGGCGTCAAGGTCTGCCAGAAGCTCGGACAAAACCTGCCATGAGGAGCATCTCGTGTGAGCTGATAAGTTGGTGGAATGTTTTGTTGAAGAAACATTTCAACAAGTGCAAACCTCCACATTGTGATCTTTGAGCACCACTGAGTCCTCCAGCTCTTTTTGAGCCTTCTGATAGACTTTAATCTGCTCGCTCAGCGCCGTGTGTTTGTCCTCCCACTCTCGGATCGTTACTTTAAGCTAGAAAAATGAGAAAAGAAATGCAGCGTTACACCTACGCTGTGGAAGCATCCACTATCCAAAGGGCAGAGCATTACAGCTTATGATCGAGCATGCATGAGTCAAATATTGGACTGTCACCAAAATGTAATCACCCCAACCTTGGGAATAATATCTCATCCTTTTAAAAGCAGGCTGAGAAAGTGCATCAAAAGCTGCAGACGGATGAAGTTGCACACGAATATTCCTTACCCCATAACAGCTAATTAAGGAATCGTCATGGTTTTAAACCACACAACAACGCTCTTACGTTTTTATTTTCCTCTTTCAGCCCCGCGTACTCTTTTGAAAGGCATTTGTGCTGGACACTGTGTGCATCTTCCCGAATCTTGGCCTCATCCAAGAGGACCGTCGTCTGTGGGGGTTGGGGGAAGACATGTTCCATTTATTATTAGACCTCTCGCAATCAAATGCAGTCAAAAGATGATGTAATCATTTGTACCTTAGCCAAAGCTTCCTGAACTTTCTTTCTGCTCAGCTCGAGCTTCTCGTTTGACTTCTCCAATTTTTTCATCTGTTTAAGAAAATAGTTTGCAGAGTCAATCAGACAAGACCGTTTATAAGACACTGACAATGAATGATAAAAAAAGAAAAAAATAACACACTCGATTTCCAATTTGTAGTGAGTTTTCTTTTTCTTCATCAAGTTGTTTTTGGTATGTCTTCTTTTCTTCGACCATGCTTTCATATCTTTTTTCGGCCTCCAAAATCAGGCTCTACAAAATATAAAACACAATTTAGAATTTTAAATAGCATATATTTAACAGTGAGCTGCATATAACAATATTAGGTGTAAGGCATTACCTCCAATTTTTGCTTTTTTTTCATTGCACAACTAACAGTCTCTGCGGAGTCCTTTTGGGTTTCTTTCAACTCTTCAGTCTGTTTATTTTTTTTCGGGAGGGGTTGGGGGGGATATTCACAAATAAAACCAGACATTTTACAAAGTATTCTATTGAAGCATGGTCACGTTTTATTTCGAGCTTACCTGTTTCTGGAGTTCATTCACTCGGGTCAGTGCATCATTTTTCTCTTTTTTAAGTGCTTGGATTTGATCAGCCAGCTGTTTTTCATCCACTTAAAAAAAAAAAAAATTCAATTAGCCGAAATCATGGTTTGTCTTTCTTGTGAAAATGAAACTTACCAAGATATTGCCTTCTCTTTACCTGCAAAGCAATTATTAAAGTCAGTGGTCTGTCTGTAACACAATCATGCTAAGAACACTCGTGTTCAGTGAGGATATATCAGATGTAAATATTACACTTTCCTGATAGTGCTGAAAAACACAGAGCCTCACATTGGTAAAAGACTTACCACTAGCACAGTTTTCCAGAAGAAGATGGTGAAGGTCAGTATGCCAACCACAGCAGTGATGATGACAGCCTGCCAAGGGCAGCCAAACAGGGTTTCCCCGGGTTTCCACTCTTCTGGCAGTAGTGAAATTATCTGAGGGCATACACAAGACGATACAGTTCATGGAATTAAAAAGAGGACTGGAATCAACAGGCCAAAGCAATATACGGCAGGGAAACTCGTGAAACTTAATTCATAAATAGCACAGATAACACCAATCAACAAAATGCCTTTCCCCATTAACAAACAGGACAAAAGACAATGCATCAAACTGGTATGTGTATCAAAGGAACAAACTGCATCTCTCAAATTAAAATCTTACGCTTTAATGAACAATTGGTGGTTTTCAGTCTCCTGCATTGCAAAATGTCGGAGCAGTGCACACCAACAACAAAATAATGGAAGAGAAATTCACTCAAGATCGGAGTGTAAATCATTAGCGAGGAGGAGGGTTAAACATGCATCAGCCATGATATTAACACGTCAGCTCATCATTACAACATCATGTCACGGGCATTGAGACGATTTTTTTCAACTTACATGTTTAAGTTCCTTAAGAAAGAACATGCATACATTCTCGAGTTCCAAGAACGGTCGTTTTAGTATATCGCTCTCCATGTCGCTCTTCATTCCTTACAAGAACCCAAATAGCCCCAGCACGCTAGTTTGACATTTGTTAGCTTGTGAGCGGGTTAGCCTAATATATACGGCTATGATGGTACAAAAACAAACAACGTTGGGTGCCTACGTGTGTGTGACCAAAATGTAAATAGACGCAAATATAAGGGAGAAATACTAACTCGAAACGAGTGTAAAGCGGAAATCGGAAACGGCAGTTGCGCTAACGGTAATCAGCATCGAACACGTATCGGGAAGCTGCAAGCAGACCTGGACAGGTTGCGTTAAGAAAAGCGGCACCGGTGCGAAGACTAGATTTTGTAAAAAGGCTGCCGTTATGTGTATGGAAGAATGCCAAGACGTTTATCCGTGCCAAAATAAGCTCTGCGTTTCTGCTAGCAAGCAGTTAAACACCGGCTGCGTTGAACTTCAGCCTCGCCAGTCAACAAGACAGGGGGGAGGGGATACGCGAGACGTTCACGACAACTCGGAACTTTGTACTATTTACTGACGTCGATTCTTCTTCCTGTCGGTTGGCAAACAACCGACGATCATACCGTACATGGCATTACCAAGTGGATCGTGACCGGTGGATTTAATCGATCAATGCTGTAAAAATAAAACTGAAACGTGAGCTTAAAAATAAAACCGAAACGTGAGCTTTAAAAAATGTAGAATACATTATCTAATTCAAATTGACAGGCCAGCGTGTAAATCCAAGTGATCTGAACTTCACAGTCCTCTGAGGTAAGACTGAAAAAAGACTTCTTTTAATTTGCTGTTCGATGTAACTCCAGTACTGCAAAAAAAATGATTGCTTTGATTGCATAATAAAACAACAGACATAGTTAAATCATTTCTCATACATTGTTTTAAAAATATATACTGTACTTTTGATGTTTGTTAAAGCATGTCATTGACATGATTTATGAAGTAACAACCGAAAGAGAGGGATACTAAGATAATTTAATCAGAATTATTAGTTGCTCCTTCAATGGCTTGAAAAGAAAAGCACTACTGAAACATGTTTTTTAGCTCTTGATACTTACAAGAGTGGTCCACTCTGCAACTTTAGCCTTGATGACTGTCACAGAGCAACTCAGAAAAGTCAACGCATCTGAGAGAAATTCCACTTGATCCTCATGAAATTCAGACAATGGCTCGATGGAGTCCAAAGACCCTACGCAAACAACAATAGATGATATGATGGAATTGGAAGTGTCAGTGGAACAGAAACTCAAAAATTGCATTGCTGCCTCTAATTTTCCCTGGGCGACACTGGCATTGCTGTGTGTGCAGGTTCACACCTGCTTTATTTAGACATGGAATCGAATGTTTGGCTAACCAACCTGAGGACGAGCGCTCCACTTCTCCAAGGCCCTTGTCTAAGGGACTTTCTAGTGTGTCTTGAGGAAACTTCTGCATCTCGTCTGACGGGCTGAAACTCGGACAGTTTTCTTTGTTTTTATTGAAGTGTCCGCCATCTTCCCCCACACTAATATCCGGTGTGGTACTCTCCTCGCCCAAGAGGTCCTGTGCTTCTTTATCAATCTCTGCCGCCTGTTTGACAAACTCCGCTACAGTATGGTTGGTGTCAGTCTCCGTTTCTGGCACGTCAGGCTCCTTGTCCGTTTCTGGCACGTCAGGCTCCTTGTCCACTTTGTCAATGTCTGGCAAATCATCTTTTACTTTCATGTCTGGTTTGTCTGTACTGACTGAAAAACATTGTAGCGTTAGAATGGAGACCAGAAGTAGTGCAACTCAGGTTGGAGGATTGGTGCCAAATATTCTGAATTGATTATTCATTTCCCCAAGAGTCTATCAAGGAAATGTTAAACATCACACACACATAATCCCAAAACATATTAAAAGTCAACAAATTTATAGATATAAATATACAGACCTTGCTCATTAATTCCTGTTCTCTCTTCTGCCAAACGTGTGCTATCACTTGCTGCAGAATACTTCTGTCTCAAACTGAACGCCAGCTCCTGGAAGTCATCCAGTATTTCCGTTTCTTCGTCTATCATATCCATCCGCTGCTCATCATCATATGTTGAGTGCCGGCTATCCAGAATGTTCTCAATTTCATCCAGGATGGTATTTTCCGAGGTTTCCAAGATGTTCTCAAGCGCATCTTCGAGGTCTTGAACCGTGCCGGAATGAGCAAGACGGGTAGCTTGTAGCTCAGTGTCCAGGTCCAAGAACATAGATTCCAATTTGTAGAGATTCCGGAGCCCCAGGAACCTCTGGAAACGCAGCATCTTCTCTTCGGTGTAATAACCCTGTAGCAGAGTCAGCCGCAGCACACTGTCGCTGTAGACCGGCTCAGGACTTGAGGTAACGTGTGGGCCTGTTTCTGGTGAGGCGTTTTCAGTGTTTGCATCATACGACTGCGAGAGAGAAAGTGCATTTTCATCTTCAAGTAGGTCTTCACTCCCCTCATATTTGTCTTCATCCATTTCGGTGTTTTTCTCATCCGCATGAACTGATTCATCATCAACATGTGCCTCGTTGTGTTGATGAGCACCTTGGAGTGAGACGCCATCTTCCGCTGCCTTATTGACAGGCTCGCTGAATGAACCAATGGATTGCATCGCCCTTGGAGGCACATCACGGTTTGTTTCCGGAGTGATGACTTCTTTGTGAACTTGAGTTTCATTTTCACCCAAAGTTTCTTTGGAGTCTTCCTTATCTTCCATTAAAATGCTGTTCTCGTGTGTCTCTTTGTTAGCGACGCTGTCCTCTTGGGGCACCGTCTTACGTGCCTCCGTTACCTTCTTGTGCAATTCAGCTTGAGGTAAAGTGTGCGATATAGAATCAAACGTACGTACCGTCGCATCGGTTGGTTTAGGTGTTTCAGCTTGAGTTTCCTCATGCTTAATCGCGAGGGCGCTACCGTCATCCTCAAGATCAAACAAGAGTTCCTCAACCACTGTTTCTTTAGGATCTACAGACAGAGAATTTGGCGAATCTGTAGGGATTTGATACAAGGTCTCTGGCTCTTTCTGATCTCTAGGATCTACCGAAAGAGAATCCAGTGACCCTGTATGGAATGCATCGAGGTTCTCCGGCTCCTCATTTTCTTTAGGATGGGCAAATTCTGAATCAGGTGAATCTCCAAGGACTGTATTGACATCCTCTAGTGTGGTGTCTTTTTGTGGTTCATCAAAAATCGTAGGTGGTTCTGATTCAGGCTCTTCCTCCAAAACTTCTTCTGAACCAGTCCACTCTGTGTCACTCCCAGCAGAAATATCGTCATCAAATGGGGTCGATGTGACCTTCTCGTGATCAGGTTTTGATTTGTCATCTTGCGTAACCACGGAAGTGTCATCTTCTTCCTCTGAAAAAGAAAGCAATGGCATTGCTTTTGCCTGGTCGGTATCACTGTGTTGGTCAGAATGACCTTCAAATATTTCATTCTCCTCCTGTTCATATGGAGTGACTCGCGTGGTGGATTCGGCATCTGTGCTGACAGCATCAAAAGTTGACCCAAAGGAAGTTTCTAACCCAGAGATTTTCTCTCCTTGAGAAGTTGAGACGGTAACATGTTCCGACACGAGATCATATTTGAGTCGAGATTCCTCCACGTCTTCTTTGTGGACATCTTTGGTTTGATGCTTTTCTAACTCGGCATCTTCAAGAAAAGTGTCTGTGGTGGTAATTTGCTCATTCAGTTGGTCATCAGCAGCATTGTCAGTGTCATCAGGTCTAACTTCTGTGTCAGGCACTTTTTCTTCTTGAGTTTGGTTTTCCACATCGAGTTGAAAAAAAGAGGCACTTTCATTATCTGGGGCCATGCCAATATCCTCAGCTCCTATTACATGGTCATCCACCACCTCCTCCTCTTCCTCCTCCTCCGGTCGGCTTGTGTCTTTCACAGTGTCCTCTGACACTTGGGTTTCGTCAGAATTCTCTTCATTTGCATCATCACTCTCCTCCGTTGGAAAACCCAACAGTGAATCTATCTCATAGTTGTCAAATTGGTCAAATCCTGTGTCAAAACAGACAAAATCTGTTTCCTGTAAAGCAGACAGAAGTGGATTAGCGGCATAATATTTTTCAAACAAACTGAAATGCAAATGTAAATGGGTAATTGAATCAGTTGATTGCTTCATCTTCACATGGTCTACCTCTGTTGGAACTTCAAATTCTTGATCTGTATAAACATGGTTTACGGCCAGTAGGTCCATTGGGAAATAACCAAAGTGACTTCCGACCTGTGACAAAGAGGTGCACGATGAATTCGCAGAATTCTGCTTAACATTTAAATAGAAAGTAGAATTTACTCACACTCCCAGCCCATATGTCAGCCCTTCTTCCTGACAATTTGTAGTATACATAGACAGTTTCTGATTTCTTAAATGACAAGAACCGACAGTCCGGTCCTGAGAAATCTTCCACTGCTTTTCCACGACATAGGAGCACTGCAAAAACAAAATGCATAGAGTTATGGGTGTTAGCATACACAAGCACATTGCAGTACATCCTTTCCATGAATACCAATATTCTCCCTCTCACAAATGAGATCGTGAGAGAGAAATGGGTGTTCATAATCGAGTATGTAAATATAGCCTTGCAAGGCTTCCCAAAGTTGGGAATCTGACAAATAATGCAATACAGTACATGCACTTTTGTCTATGTGCTCAGACATCAGTAAGCCCCTGTATAACAAGTTTGGCAGGGATCCTTTTACGCTTCTGCTCTTCTCTCTGAACTGAGACAGTGATTTGTGAGATTTCCAAAAACATAATTTTTGGAGCGAACCACGAAGTGGATGTTTAAACGGCCGCGGTGAACTTAAATATAAGTTATATCATGAATGAATATGAGGGAAAAAGTGATAGAAACAGACAAGAAAATATTCTCAACGAAACCTTGATTTTGTTAGCGTTTTAACCCATAAAGGTGTAGCTTTCTCTCCAGTTTGTTTGGCTAACGAATCAGATAAATGATAAGTTAACGCCAGTTTGCTTAACAACGTCGTTATGTAAAAAATAAATGTGTGGTGACGTTTTATGCTGTGAACAAAACTCGTGCTTAAATCACCAGCTGTTACTTATCGTTGAAGTAAGTATTTATTTATGTGTTCGTGGCGTTATTAGCGATTAGCTGCTAACATTAGTTAGCCAGTAATGCAGGCCGGAGCCACCAGGAAACCGGCCAACGAAGGCTGCGTCAAGGCGAACAACCTTGACCAAGAATCGGCAAACATTCACTTTAGCGTACTGGCAAAGATAAAACAACAGCAGCCCGCGTTATCGCAGTTGCAAATATCGACTGTCAACAGGTCAAGCGATAAGGCTCAGTTTATGGCTAACTGCTTTGGAATGGATGAAGATGCATGCCTGAGCGACCGGTTCACTATCAACAGAAAAACTTACTGCTGCACTCCTCGTCGGCGCATCTCTTAAAGTCGGAGAATCGCTTCTCCAAGGCGGCGGTTGAGATAAAATTAAATAAAAGTAATAAAAAGCCTTGTCGGTAAAAGTGCTTGGCTGCCATGCTGGCAGGTTTAGTGGTGAGCAGGAGCACTGGGGTGGGAGACGACACGTCAGCAAGCAGATGAGATCCGGCTGGGTGTAGGCAACACGGCTCGGTTTTCACTGCAGGCTACCCGGCTCCTCTTTGGGTTGTTTGATTTCTCATATCTGAGTCAAATGTTTCCCTACGGTCTCCTGCATGTCACCTCCAAAACAAGATTTTTCCATTGAACTTCATATTCACAAATTAAGTAGATGCTGTTATCATATTGGACAAGCTCCCACACATTTTGAACTGCAAGCAGACAGTATTGTATCGTGCATGCAAATAACAAAATATGTAAGCTTACAGACTACGTGGACAATGGCAGGGAGGACTTTCCCGCTAGTGTTTGCATTTTTATGAGCAATATGGTACGAGTACCGATTGATTTCATTAATCAATACGATCAATAAAATGAACCAACCTGATTACCAGGTTTATTTTATAAACCACAGACAAGGAAACATCATTTATACGTGTTTTATGAGAATTTACTCATACTGTATGTCAATATGCAAGAAAATAATATAACCTTTATTGTCATCTTTTTTTTTAACAGATACAGGTCCATATACTGAAACAACATCATACACACACACAATATAAAGATACAAGAGAAATAATATTCGACAAGATACAAGAGGAGAAATTAAGGCGTTATAGCAGTTGAATTAATACATCAAGAAATACAATACATAAAATAACGTCTGTGAACAACATAAGCATTCGTTATAGCGCGTGTGTGATCTTTTTCTAATTTTACAACGTGAACAAATCAATCGCATACTTTGCAGTGTAATAAATGACTATCATTGGATGTGGAAGGTTATTTTGACGTGCAGTATTGTTCCGTACGCTCCTTCTAAATTTGACCCGTAGAGGGCAGCCTCGTGCAGTATGAAATATTACCTACCAAAACATAGAAGAAGAATAAAATCCTCATGTGGAGTACAGTAATAACGTTGTAAGTAGAGCTATATTTATTTTCACCTCTAAACTCTTAACAAAGTGAACGTTTGAATCTCACGTGTAATTCGAATAGCACACAGGTAGGAGCCAATTTCAGCATTTTTAATGAATCGCCAATTTTGTCACTCTGGCATTCATAAAGGCAAAAGTTGGTTCAGCGGAGGGATGTACGAAAGCGAATTACAAAACAGAGCCAACAGTATGTTATGCATACCGTGCATGCAGTACAGGTATATATTCGTTTGTGCCATAGATATTATTATGTGTACATTTATCACTATATGTCAACCTTCAGGTGGAGGTGCTCAAAAGCACCAAGCATGTGATGAATGATATCCTCCTACAAGAACAATAACCGCTGGATCATGGACGACCTGGAAAATGAGCTTTGGTCTCTTGTACAGTTTGATGAGCTCAATGATTCATCAGAGAGCAATGTGACCAAAAAAGAGGAAAAGTCAAAGCTTCCGTTGGCAGATCCATTCCCTCTTGGTGAGTAGAACATGCACATATCATCAACATTGCTCAGTTATTGATATGATCAGAAGACTTAAATACACAGAGACTTTTGAGGCGCTTGTTTGGATTTCATTAGAGTCAGCTGCTGTACCTTGAGTGTCAAAGCAATAAAATTGTTATTCCCTTGTAATTTCAGAGACGGCAAAGGAAACAGGCTTTCACAGGACCACAAGGCTTTGTCTCGAGAGAATCAGAGAAGCGATGCTGCATCACAGATGGCAGGAGGCTGCAGAATATATGGCGTGTTACCCCCAACAGTTGGAGGACACAACTGCTGTGCACGCAAAGCACTACAAAGAGGTACATTGATGTTTGGTTAGGGCCTCAAGTACTTCGAACGGGCGTTGAGAAAACAAACCAGGACTAACAAATGAAAACGTGGGGCTAATTTGTCGAAAGAAAGAGTCAGTAAAGGTGTTTGCTTTTCAGATGATTTGGAGAATCACCATTGAACTCCTTCATCATCACCCCAACTCAAAGATGGATGACTATAACATCATCTATGAGCGGATGAAACATTCAGGAGTTAAACATTACCTAATGGTACACCAACATCATCACCGTGTGCACGCACCGCTCTGCCATACAACAACTGTCTAAATCTTCGCATTTCTAGATCTGTCTGGAGCATTCCTTCCACCTGCTGCTCCATGGCCAGATCGAGAACGCAAAGCGTCACCTCTCAATCGCTGAAAGCTGGAGGTATGGCAAAGAGTCGGCACGCCACTATCAGAGGACCAAACTGATCCAGGCCTACAGGAGTTTGCTGGATTACATTATCTGGTGCGACAAGAAAAATGCATCCTCCGAGACCAGTAAGGCGACACTGCTTAGCATATATTATTTAGGTGCAACATGTGGTTTGCATGTCACAGTCAAAATGATCTGGGTTGAATCTTTCCGTGTGGAGTTTACTCTCTCGATTCTACACCAGGCACTGAACAATATAAGTAGACAATGGCTGGATAACTGTTACAGTCACAGATAGACATGCTGCATTTATCCTCTGGTGTAATACCGCCACCTACAGGTTAAATCCATTTTTAAGGGAGCTCGTTGACTTTATTTGTATACAGCATACGGGACAATTTCGTTTTTTGTTTCACATAAAATGATTAGTTCTTTTCTATTTTCAAGGTTTTGCAGACCCTGGAAGCACCCAAGACATGCACAGTTACTTTAGACAGGCTTCAGTCAATCTGAAGGATATTTTAAAACATCCCGGTGTTTGGGATCCCTTCATACTAAGTTACGTCGAGGTAAGCACATTCAATAACTTTCAGTGAGATTGAAGCATTTTGGAAGTGTGGATCTTAAATGTTGCTCCACTGTAATGTTGTGAACATTTATTTTTATTTTATTTTTTTGGTAACAGATGCTCGAATACTATGACGATCAGGAGGAAGCAAAGACAGTCCTGGAAGACTATGCGTATGACAGCACGTTCCCCGCAAATCCAAACGCACATGTCTATTTGTACCGGTACTTGCAGAGACACAACGCATCAGAGTGGAAATTGCTGAAAGTTTTAAAGGTATTGCCCCGGTTACATGCCACAGTTCTTATTAGTCGACTTACAAGGAACCTCTTATTTTATTTGCAAATCTTCCTTCCTCATACCCTTAGGTCCTCCATTCTTTAGTTCCAAGCCATGAGCTGATGTTGGACTATAGTTCCTTTCTGCTTTTCTCAGGTATTTTGAACTGAACACGCAACACATAACCGCCACTCTAAATAAAGTGCTGTACATGGAGCAAAAAGAATTCATTTCACAAAAAAAAAAAAAAAAAATCAAACCTCACGCTGAGTCAAAAGTCAAAGAATAAAAATGAGTTTTAAGACTAGTTGTCAAGATGGGCAGCGGGGGGATTGCCTAACTTTTAGCGGGAGGCGCAGGATGAGTACATGAACATGTTAGAAAGCATTGCTGAGGACAAGTATAGTATTAAATATGATGCCCTTTTTTATTTTGTCAAGAGCAAACAGAAGACATCAAGACGGCTCTTGGAGTTGTCCTTGATATGCTCGACTTTGCCTGCTGGAGGACAAGCATGGACGCGTGGAAGTGTTTAAAAGACATCGTTGACAAATTACAGTTAGAGTACGACATTGTTCTTACGACATTCAATTCACTTAGTGCCAAGTCTGTTGTGCCACTGTGGGCTTCATCCGTCATCGCCGTCGTGTGTTTTAAAACAGTGACGACTGGAAGGAGGTTGTTGCAGAGAAGATGGCGGCAAGAAAAGAGTGGTGGCCCGCACTGCACTTTACAAGGTTCCATGCTTCCGAGGATGCCGTGCAAAGACCCCAACTGATGGAGGTGAAGGCATCGCTCGCCAAGATCCTCTGTCCAGGTGAGCTAATGTCATCTGTGTAGTTTCCATCAGTTTCAAGTTATCAGTCAAGTCAACAGTTTATTTTCCTTACGTAAGAAGCCAAGGTTAGATGCTATGTCGGAAATCTTCACGTGAAATCAGTGCATGTCAGTTACAAAAAAAAAAAAAATGTTCCCGTATTAGAAAGATAGAAGCGTTGAAATAAACGGTTACAAAACTTGCAAATTGCGTTTGTATGAATATTTAAGAGAATGACGCTACATATTTTATATTTGGTCTTTGTTGTATTTTGTACTTCCAGAAATGACGCTCACATACCCTGCTGGAAGCAAGACGCGGTAGTACCTTCTCTGTCCACTAGGGGTCGTTCTAGCACTGTATTTTTGCTTGAATGATATGACCACCTTTTCTGGACAGAAAGCACATTTAGCTCTGAGCCAGCCCTCCTGGGTATTTTATGGTTTTTGTAGCATTTGGTTGGACTTCTTCCTCTGTCCTCGGCTGACTTTTGCCGCACTACTGCCACAAGTCGGCGTGTACACACTCAATAATACACACCGCCTCTGTTCGCTCTGTTGTCACGAGAGATGACTCAAGCAGCGCAGACCTCACAACCGCCCAGTGTGCTTTAATTTGGACAAGTATGATAGATTGTTAACAGCCCCATGTGTTTAGTAACAATAGCTGTCATAAACAACGCGCTTTGAAATTGTGGTTAGGTGGCAGAGTATCAACGCTAATATTTTAGCGCACGCAATAAATTGTGGTCAGTATCTCCTAGACTTATGTCTTTTTTTTTTTTTTTGTATCTCGTTGCATCGCAACATCAGTCACGGCTCACCCAGCATTTTGTTTACTCCTCTGGGTCCTTTGCACCAAACCGTGAAATAAAGTCTGCATGGCGCAGCATGCCAATTTAATAAATGAAAGTGTTTTGTAATGATTCTGCTTACTTGGTTCGGCTTGCCACAATGTTTGCTGTGCAGTGTGTGTGTGTTGCTTTGCAGTCATTACATAAACCAAAAGCCCAGAGCACTTGCCTGACCGTAGAAGCAGCTGCTGAAGAGATCTGGGGGATACAAGTCGCATGTCATTTAAAAACTCAGAACTCCAAACAGTCACCATTCAACATTCTTAACCAATATAGTGAGATTGTGAAAAAAAAAAAGATTCTCACCTATTGGAGGTGGGTTGTTAACGCATCTCTGTGATAAATGTGGGTTCACTGTACCTTAAAAATAA